AGCCGCACTGTTGAGCCCCGCAGCGGCTGCGGGCGCCTGGTAGAGACCCGGGTGGCGGAAGCTGCATAGCAGCTCGGGCCGCGAGTACGGGTGGGAGAGCGCGCGGAAGGTGTCCAGCGGACGGATGGACGTGGCGAAAGGCGACGAGGCTGCGGCCGCTGCTCCCGAGGCGGCGGCGGCGGCGGCGGCCGCCGTGACACCCACGTGCGGGTAGTAGTGCAGCGGCACGTGCGAGTGGAAAGGGTAGGGCAGGCTTCCGGTGGCGGCCGCGTGCGTCATCATGTAGGTGTAGAAACTGGGGTCGGCTGGGTGCGGCCACGACATGGCCAGGCGCTGTCGCTTGTCCTTCATGCGCCGGTTCTGGAACCAAACCTGCGGGAACAGTCGCAACACGACCTGGGGTTAGGATGCGACCTGCGTTTCCCAGTCTCCACCCAGAGCCTCCCGGACCCTCCCCAGCCTCTGAAAGTCCTGGCCTACTCCTCTAGCCCTGAGCTTAGACCTGAATCCCTTGTGCGCTGCCAGCTGGGACGAGGCGTGGGCTGCTTTGGTCACTCAGTCCTCTGCGAAAACGTTTCTCCGGGACTGCGACTCCCGGGGCTTTTGCTCTGTTCTGGCTGCGTTTCCTTCGTCCTAGCCCAACCAACCTTTCATCTCCCTCCCGCCACCCACTGGTGCCCAATCTTGCTGAGCACCACTCTCTCAATCCCAGGATTTGCTCGGGGATTCTGCCCAGCCTTTGGAGAGAAGCTGTCTCTAGCTTTTCTAAGAGGCCACAGAACGAGGTCTTGAGCCTTCCAAGCTGCTACGACCCGCCCCTAGGGGCACGGGTCCGATTAGGGTATTGAAGGGATAATTTTGTTGAAATCATTTGTCTTAAATGAGTTGTGAGAGTAATTTCCCCCATAAACTGGAAGGAGACGTCTATGTCCCATCTAACATAGAACCTAATAATGACATTCATCAGAACCCTAAATCTTAAAAGAGAGAGACTAATCAAACTGAAAGGACCCCCCCTCCATCCTCCTATGAAAAGCTCCTCTTTTTCTAGAGTGTCGAATGTTCTGTGAAAGGTTCACCCAGTTGCCTTAACTCCTGATTATCTCTCTCCTGGACGTATAATCAAAAATTAATAACAGATATAGTCAATTTCGTTGCGTTTCCCCTCCACAAGAGGTTATCTTTCCCCCCAATGCCCAAGAGAAGAATGTTTAGGAAACTGCGCTTTCAATTCAATCGATTTTTAAAATGCAGAATCCCTTTCTTCACGTAGTAACGATTTATGTGGAAAAATAGATCCCAAGATCAAGAGCGAATAAAGTTTCATCTCGGGTTCGTGTCAGAAGAACAAAGACCGGCTGACTTTGCCGCCTAGGGGGCCGCGGGACCGTGGGCATGGAGGGCACCTGGGCGCACGTTGGGCAAAATCGAGCAGAGGCCAGGGCCAGTCTGCAGCGTGGGAGCCGCCATTCAGGAGACACTGGTTGGCGGCCAGGCCCGCCAACCGTTCGCATTCGGCGGCATGGGAGAAATGAAGCCGCCACCTCCTTTGGTGACTAACCCCCTCAGATTTGCAGGCCCTGAGTTAACTCGCACCACCCAGGAAAGAGAAGAGAGAAAAAAGACCCAATCAACCCCGCTGCCCCAGGGGAGGCCCGAGCTAGGCGCGCGCTGGGGTCGATACCTTGATGGTGGTTTCGGGCAGGTTGAGGGCAGCGGCCAGCTCGCACCGGCGGGGCCGCGACACATAGTTCTCCCGGTAGAACTCCTTTTCCAGGCGCGCGATCTGCTCTCGGGTGAATGCGGTACGGTAGCGCCGCACCTGATCGGCGCCAGAGCCGGAACTGCCCAGCGCCGCACCCCCGCCGCCGCCGCCGCCGCCGCCACTGCCTCCGTGCAGGCTCCCCAGGCCCGAGCCCGACGCCGACGTCGTGGTGCCCGCGCCGGAGCCGCTATCTGCATAGCCTGGCAAACAAACAGCGCATGAGTCCCGGTTACCGGCCGGGAGCCCCTGGCTGGGGCCGCTCGCTGACGGCGGGGGGGAAAGTCGCGTCAGGACGGAAAGTCACTCCCGGAATTGATGGGGTCTGTCAGGGTTACAAATTGCTGCCGTTAATAGAATCAATAAAGTTTGGGGAGACCTCCAAAACCAAATAATAGGAACGGCGTTGGGAAGGTTCTTTAAAATATATATATATATTAATTAGCAATTTTCCACTCGCGAGGAGAATCGGCCGGGGAGGGGGAGTCACCTTGGGCTCCAGTGTGCCCCGGTCTAGAAACCGCCGGTTTTTGTATCGCCTCGGACTCTTCTCTGACAAGTCTTTGGGGTTTGACTTAAAATATTTCGAAGGTTCTCGAGACAGTAGCAGCTGAGCCCGGGACTGTTAGGAGGAGGGGAGGGGAGGAGGTCTACTTTTCAACTCTTTCTTAGGCGGGGGAACAGCGCCTGGGGTGAAGCTACCTCCTACTTCCCCAAAAGAATGCCCCCCGCCACCCAGCCCTGGGGGCTCGGAGGCTGCGGGGGTTCGAACCTCTGTCCCAGGCACCTCTGCCTGAGAGCGACTCCGCCGCTAGCTCCCGGGCAGTCCACCGGCCAGGGCCAGCGGGCCTGGAGCCCCAGGCTCCGCAGGCCTGTGCGGCTCTTGGCAGCTCCGGGCGCAGGGCAGGAAGGCACGGTCCCTAGCGTGCCCACCGGCCCAGCCTAAGCCAGACCGCTGCTGGCTGGGGGTGTGGTAGGGGGGGTCACACAGGGACACGAACCCCCGGGAAGGACTGGCGGGGGCCACGGAGGGACCAGGAGCGTCCGCGGGCTGCGCGATTACCTTTGCCATTGTTTTCCTTGAGCGGCGCGGCGCCGAGGCCGCCCGGGGAGCGCAGCGCGGAGCAGCCCACCTCCACGTCGCTGCTCATGTCGGCCTCGGCGGCCGCCTCGGAATAATGGCCCGGCTTCTTGCGGCTCTCGGTGGCAGAGGCGATTTCGGAGGAGACGGTGCTTTCGCTGCCCGGGTGCTGCAGGTTGAACAAAGTGTCGATTTCGAATTTGCCCTTGGCGGGGAGGTCTCCCAGAGCGCCGTGCAGGGGGGCGGACGGCAGGCGCGGACTGAGGCGAGCCGGGTGCTGCGAATTTTCCAGGGCCTCCAGCACAGCACTGCCAGCCGAGTCGGACAAACTGGAGAACCTCTTGCCGGCTGTGGGGCTGTGGAGCCCTCTCTCCATCAGAATCATCTCTTTTCTTATTCTTTCCATCATCTCAGCTTTCTAAAAAATGTCACAGGAGCCCGGCTGTCCCGTCCTAATGATGGGCTGCGCCTAGGGCTAATTCTCATTCAGCCCCAGCAAGCGCCTCTAAGTATTATTATCTCTTTTGGAGGGAGGCGGAAAAATTGTGGGATGCTAGAGCGAGGGAATGACTGGTCAAAATGACCCATACATCCTTCCGAGCCCGAGATGTCATTCATCAAAAAGTAGCGCCCGCTCGTCATTAAGGTACGAATGACGCCGTTCGAATAATCATTTATTGTAACAGGTTTATAAGCAAATAAATACACGCTCCTGTCAGTGGGTAATGAAGGCGGCTTCAGAGCAGACAAATAGATCCAGGTAGGAGACGGGAAGAGACAAGAAGTGAGGAAGAAGGCTCTGGTCCTTTGCCCGCTCAGAGTCAGTTCTGCTCGCCCGGGGGTTTGGCCTCGGGGGTGAAATTGACAGTCTGATTAATAGAGCGCGCCGCGGCACATTTCCCCCTTCATTTAGGGGCATCATTACGCTCTCAGTTTGCTGGGTTGCCCCTTAGGTCCTAATCATGCAGCGCCTTCCTCATTTTTCCACGGACATAGATACGTGTTAAATAATAGATAATGCTTTGATTTTCCAGAGTAGATCCTTGGGAAGGCTTTTTTTTAAATATAAAAAAATTACAAGGTGGGGGCGTTAGGGGGAAGAACTAGGAGGAGGATGCAGGAATAGTTGCGTAAGAAGACCTTGCGCCCCATCCTGTCTGGATTACTTATCTTTCTGTTTTCAGAACCAAATATGTATTTTATTTAACAAATAGGACCATGAGTCCCCCCCCCTCTCTCTCTCTCTCTCTCTCTCTCTCTCTCTCTCTCTCCTCCACAGCCTGGATGAGAAAGAAAGAGAGAGAGATTTTGTAGAGTTTTGAAAACGCTTTCTTGCTACGTGGCTAGGGAGGTGCGTTGGGCCCCGTGCCTACAAATGGAAATCATTAGACCCTCTCCCTCATATTCCATCACAAGCTTTGCAGAGTGAGATCTGATCTCGAAGTCCCTGCTTTTCTGTTGTGTCGGTGGTTGCTTGTTTTTTTATAATCCTGCTGATAGATATATCTTTTCGCCTATGCATTTTCCCTGGGGAAAGTGAACAAACCTGGACGCTTTGATAGTGGGATTCGATAGCTAACTTTAAACTCAGATGCTATTTACACCGTTATAAGGGCCTCTTTCTATGTTGCCAGCTTTCCCCCTCCCTCCTCAAATGGAAGTATTTGAACAAAGTAACTGGATTTTGAGGTTTAAGTGGAGAGAGGGGAAGGGACTCAGCCTTCTTCCTCTACCATCCTGCCGTTCTTAACACCCCCCACCCCCAGCTCTACTTGCTCCTTTCGTTCCTCTCCGCTCCACCCTAGACCCTTACCTGTGGCCAGGCGTGTTCCAGACGCCGAGTCCCGTAGCAGAGAGCCGCCAACCAATCTTGCTGCTGCTCCTTGCGGCCTGAGGTTGGAGGATGAGCCTCTTGGCGATAACTTTGATAGTCATAATGACGCCGGTGGCAACCATTTTAACAGAGATCAATCTTCACTCCAGGCCGCTCTTCATCTCCTCCCGCGCTTGCGCCCCACCCTGCAGCCCCGATTCCCAAGCGTTGGGCTGTCCGTCCTGTAGCCCCTCAAGAGTGAGACTCCAGGACGAGAGAGGACAGGGACAGGACGCAGTGGCTCAGCTCCTGAGCTTCCGAAGCTGTCAGAAGACCCTTGGCAATCTGAGCGCTGAGCGCAGGTCCTGGATCCCCGCTGCGGCGACTCCGACCCCCTAACCTGGGCCCCCTTCTCCCCTCCCTCCGACACACCCAACACATCGGTGTGTCTTAGGGGCAAACTCTGGCTCTATTTGCCCATCTGTCTGTTGGCGCTTTCCTTTTAACCTTGGACCCGTTGGGGGCGCGTCAGGAATGTAAGGGGAGGCGAGGTGTGAAGTATATTTATATACATATATACACATATATAGTCAATGCCAAAAGTTTCTCTCCTGTTACCCTTGGAGCCAACTTATTTCAACCACACGAGCTTTGCTTAGAAGAAAGTCAACCCCACGTCTTTTAGGTAATAAACGGGGAGCTCAATGAGCACGCAGGAACTCCGGGGCGGCCGAGGCGGCTGGGAACGAAAAGTGGGCACCTGGACGAGAACTTGACCGGGCACCCACCTCTGCCCCGTGAACGCCGTGTGTGTTCCCCTTGCTCAGGCTTTTCCGGCCACTAGCCCCGTGGAAGCCCCACCTGCGCCAGCGCAGACGCCCAGCTCCACAAGTCCTGGCACTCACTGCCTCGGTGCCCCAGGAAGGGTCCCTTTACTTAGTCTCTGCTTGCTCTGGGACCTAAATGAGGTACTTTGGTCCAAGCTCATCTCCGGGAAGGGGGAGGGGGACCGGGGGCCAGGCCCTCGCTACGTGGAGGACGGCTGCAGACGCTGCCCGGGCGGATATCCGCGGATGCCTTTATTGCTGTCGTTTGGCGCCCCCGTCTGTTTTCCTCGCGGTTTCAGCGGCTGTGTGCCGCTTTGCAATCGGCCCGAGCGCTCGAGGTTGGGGCTGGAGACCACCTTCTTTTAGGAACGAGGCCCGATTCTCCCGCTTCTGAGACCCCGGCGCCTTTGATTCCAAAGGATATGCCAAATTCAACTTAAGTCGGTTAAAAGGGAAAAGGCCATTTCTCGGCGACCACTATCACCAGTGGTTGTCAAGACTGTTGTGCACCTTTTAAATAACACTAATGTTGCATTTCTAGTACGTTTGTTATGAAAAGTACATTCGAGACCCGCTCAGGGAAAAGTACTTGCAGTAAAAGACACCTAAATTTTTCGCTAAACTGCCTTCAGCTGACAATAATGTTTCATGGAGCAGAGTGAGCACTCTATTACAATACTTAATGTCCCTTTGTTTATTGTATTCCACTAACACTATTGAATAATTTTTATAACGCTCTTAGTATGCAACTGCAAGGACTTTTTCTATGTATTATCTCTTCTAAATCTCAGGGTAACTCTTAAAATCATATTATTCCCTTTTCAGGAACTTTTGATAGAGACATCCGGTGACTTGCTGGTGATTTAAATGCATCTCAATAATAGACAATAAACCAAGTTTGCATAGCATGTCTTATTTAAATTCAGGCTACTTCAAAAATCGAGCCTGTGTAGAAAAGAAGAATGAACACAGAGAGAAGATGAAGGTAGTAATAGTAATGTTTATTGATGAAATACAGAAACTTCTTACATCTTCCACGATGTAGTGGCCAAAGCTGGGACCTGGCTTTTTTAAGTCCTGGATAGATGCAGGCTTTCCTGTTGTCAAGGATTCCTTTGAGCCTTCTACACACTCGCAATGTACAAGACTCACTTAATAAAATGTGAATCCAACCCACACAGGCATGACTTGGAATCAATTTTGTAAGATGGGGGCGAGGGGTTGGGTGCTGGAAGGACTTACTCCATATGCATTGAAAAGCACTTTTTGCTAGAAAGGCAGAATGACATGAGCAACATCTGTTTGGTTTTTTTTGTTTTGTTTTGTTTTGTTTTGTTTTTTTGTTAGTCCTACAGACTAAATATTTGTTTCTTTTGCAGCAGAGGGTTCTGTGAGTTGAGGTGGTAAAGTCTTTTGAGACTACAGGCAGTAAAAATCAGTCTAGGTTGCCCAAGAGAAGGCACTCAGGTAAAAGCTCAAGCTGAGGTGTCTGGGGCTTGAATCTTTCTCCAAGAAGGGCCTTTGGCAGCCAGGCCACCAGCCTAGCAATGCACAGGGAGTTAAAATGATCTCTGGAGAGCTGGGCAGCCAGCAGGGAGTGGTGAGAAATCAAGACTTCCAAAGCCTAGGTTGCTAGCACGGTGCATGTTTCCTTTAGGCTAAGGGCCATCCCGGTGGCAGGAGGTTTATGAGGGAGGGTGAGGATTTGAAGAACCAGGCCAGAATTTATTCAGGCAACTCCATGCTCCAACCCTTCAGCTGGCAAGCTTCTAGCTCTCTGCCTCCTCTGGGTCTAGGTCTGGTTCTACTGTCTTTCCTTCTCCTTCTCCCTCTGCAATGTGGGGCCACAATGGGAACGGTTGTGGGTGAGGGGTTGGGTGGGCACTTTCTCTCTGGACCCTGGAAGTACTCAGGCACGCCGCCTGCCTGGAGCTTGTGAGCCCTCAGATGCGACGGGAGAACTTGCAGAGACATCTAGCGCCGGGCTTAGGGAATTGCGTGCCGCTGTGCAGGAAAGCTAAGCCGGACCACTGGCGCCCCTTCTCCTGCCTCTACATTCCTCATTCTTGCTTAGGTACTTTCCTAACCTTCATCCTTTTGCCTTGCTGGTTAATCATAATGTGTTGTTTTCCCATTGAGAACAAGATCTCTGATAAATGGTGACAAATAGACTTCTTTTTTTTTAACCCCCCAACAGTCTACATTTGAGCATTTACTGAGTTTAGGCTAACAATAGTTTTGCTGGAAAAGTGTGTTTCTATGACTACTCTGTGCCTTGAGTTGTCAAAGAAAACAGCAAATTGCAATCCTAACTGTTATTTTCCCAAAACAGCAAGAAGTTATTGGGTCTTCCAGCCCTGGCCACATTATCTCAAGCCTCTTTCCCAGACAGACCAGTGTTTCTCTGAAAGGGAACTTTCTTGCTGTTTAATTCCCTCTAAGACTGCAGGAGTTTTGTTCATCCCAAACAAGGGCCTGCTACCCTGTGGGAGGCAAATCTAGTCTCAGCAAATAATGTTTTATGTCTGGAGAGGTTCTTTGTTGTTGAGAATTGTTTTTATTTAATACGTAAATTTTGTTGTTAAACAAAACAGAGCACATCTCAAGACAGAAAGTGGCCAGATACATGGAGATTTCCATTGTCTGGCTATTGCTACCGTCTCTTTTCTACACTCCAGGTTGTGTTTGGGGGAGGTGATTGGTGGGTTTTTACTTGCTTGTGCTTTTGATAGATCCTGCCTGAGTGGAACAGGTTATTGGCTGGGGAGGGAAAATTAACTCCAAAGTTGGAAGGATGAACACTTAGGCACACTATCTATGTAGTTCCACTGCACTTAAGACTTCACTTTAGAATTAAGACTTTTATGCACTGAATCATTGGTTCTTACAGTTAACTAGGCAACTGCCCTGCACTTCCTATTGTGACATCAAGGCAAATGCTTTCAAAGGCATCCCCAGGACTGCACTCTGATAGGACTTTCTCATCTTGGTCTTAATAGTCACAGATCATGTAGTTGATTGAACTACTGCTAACTTGGCAAGCAGAGCAACTTCAATAAATCTAAATCACAGCCTGTATTCCCCCATTTCCCAACCCAGGACAGGAGCACAGTTTGAAAGATCATCTACACAGAATAAAAGAGGATATGATTTTAGAACTGTGCCAATTTGCAAAAAGGTGCTTGTGGAGCAACAGGAGGAAGAGGAGCTAGAGATGGGAGAGGAAAGTAAGGGCTTTGGGCAACAAGGGAGATCTTGAATTTGTAACGCAAATTGGGAAATGTGGTACAACATTTCAGTAAGATATGTTGTGGAGACATTAATCTTACAAAAGGTTTTTTTTTTCCATTTACCAAAGCTTACTTCTTTTTTTTCCATTTACCAAAGCTTACCTATGCAAGCGTAGGGCTCATTCTGTCCTGCCCAATAACCTAAGAAAATAATTGCTATTAGGTTTTAACCCCAAATCATTTAGGCACAAGATATACATGCTAAGGAAACCATTTCCACCTATTCAACAGAATTTAAAATACTTTCCTCACCTACCATCTTGTCAACTGTGGAACTTAGCACTTTGCCACAGCCTTTTCTGGGTGCTAAAATATAGGAGTTAAGTCTACCTGGAATCAGTCAGAACCCCATTTCTAGGAGTAATCCCCTTCTGCAGAGCTGGAACCTCAAAAGCTTGATCAAATCCACCTTATTCAAAACTTCCCTAATCTCTGAATACACTTTTGGATAGAGATAGAAACACCCAGTTCCTATAAGCCAAGTCCCCTGCCCCTGCATCTGTAAATGGGGACCTACAGAGGAGTCTCGACTCAAGCATTAATTGAACATTTCTTCCTATTCTGGCACAACTTCATTTATCACACAGAAAATAAAGCCCAAATTGAAAGACTGCCTGAAATCACAGAAATTGTCTAATCCTTCCTATCTTAATTTTTTCATTTGCAATATATAACTCTCCATTGACATGTAATTATAAAATGGAAAATGGAACTGAAGTCCAAGGGCACAAACCCACCAAAATATTTCGTTTTAAGAGACTGAAAGTTTGTGGGTTCCAGTTCAGTGTTAGCAATACCTCAGTAGATTTCTTGCAGTCATAGAAGAAAATTCTCTCCATACTTTTCTCTCTCTCAGAGAAAGAGAAACAAAGAAAAAGTAAAAGTATCTTAGGATACCACATGATTATTTGGGGTATCATTTGGTAGAGGGGACATAATCAATCCTGCAAAGTCAGAAACCCTGTGTATCACCAGTCCTTTACATGCAATCTAGCATCCAGTGGACCGGTTGCGTCTCCCAGTTGTCAAAATTATTCTCATCAGCAAATTTCTATTTCCTCAGCTCTGTAAAGCTTGAGACCCCTCTTGTTTTGCCCTTGGTTGCAGATATGCAAAGGACTTCAAAAATAAAAAAGTCAAATTATCTTGCTTTTCTTTTCCAGCATCTCTCTCATAACTTTCACCTTTATTTGAGCCTTTTATGGTTACTGTGTTTTGCATGTCAACACTCCCAACGCCGGCAGCCCACCCTACAATACCAGGCCCAGGGGTTGTTTTCTTCACCCTACTCAGGTTCTGTCTTGTGTCTGGAAGACAATCTGGCCTCACCAATCTAGGCTTAGGAGCCAATTTTCTTGAAGATAGTGAGAGTTGGTGTAACCGAACCACATCGGCCCATTTTGAGGGTTTCCAGACTCACTTCAATACCGTTGGCTCACCAACTCTAATAGTGCAAGACACACTCCTATATTTGCCATAGGGCTCACGAGTGTTCTATTAATTGCTAAGATTGGAGGGTGGTGGCCTGACACTCTGAGGAGTGCAGAATGTGACATGGAGGGACTGGGGCTGTCATCTGGAGGACTCTGGCAGCAGGACCAGTCCCACCAGGACAGCCTGGAATCCACCATACCCTCTTGAAGGCAGACCTAGTTGCTTCGGGCTGCTTCTTCCATGTACTACCACCCCCTACTTTGCTCGGGGAAAAGCACTGTTCTTCTCAATTCTCTGCAGTTTGGCAACTTGGAAAAGGAAGCAAAACAAAGGTCCTAAGGAAAGTGAAGTTTTCAATTAATTGGTGTGAGTAACGGGCGGGGGTGGGTGGTGGCTGTAAAATGCTAGAGGCGGGTAGGCTGTGGGTGAGGCACAGAGCTTCGCGGAGGGCAGCCGAGTGGCTTTTTCCTCTCTCGTTCTTGGCCGGGGTCTTTTCTGCCGGCCGTACCGCGGGGGAGACGGGGCCGGACTGTGCTGGGACCAGCTCTGGAGGTGACTTGGAGGCTGGCTTGCGAGAACCAGCGCGAAGCAGGGAACCATGCACTTTCTCACCGGTGGCGATCGCCAGGCTCGCCGTGCCGAGGTGGGTCTTCGCTGGACTTACTGGCAAGTCTTTGCCGCTGCCAGGACGGCGCTTTGTAGGCATGTTCTGGGCGGTATATGTGGGGAGGGAGATGGTCTACTAGACTCATCTTAGGGGTGTCAAATGCCTTTGCCCGGTCACAACGTTTTAAATAGGGAAACTTAGCTCCCTCGAACTTGGGACCGAGGTTCGGTTAAGGGACGGTGAAGTAATGGGAGTTTTCAACATGAGTCTACTTTTACGCCATGCTGACACTCTCTGTCCTCCGTGTTCCGTTTGCCGTGCAGCTAGGGAACCGAGGGGAGGTGGCAAAAGCTGTCGGTGCGGAGACCAGGCGCAGGCCTCGGCGCCCGCCTCAGTTGCAGACAGGGCCTGGGATGGGCCGTCGCTCAATCAACTCGTGGGGGTGGCTGCGGCACAAACCCCTGGTCGGGTGCGGGGGGGAGGGGAAGGGCACCAA